AGATTAAAATCAAGCCAAACACATGGGGCAGAATCTGGGAAAGTACCAAACATGGAGCATCTAGTAGCCCTCTCTGTGTGGAATTATGGACAGTATTACAGAATATCACCACCCAGGGAGGCTTAACCCGACCCTCGTATCCAGAGTTTATATTGGGGCTCCATCACATAGGCTTGACTGATTGTTCATATGGCTGATCTCAGTGTCCAGCCCCTTGAGCAGTCAAGCTGATACTGTGTGACCCAAAGCCCCCATCCTAAATCACACCATTGGTGAGGCTAAAAGACCCCACCCTAAATTACACTGTTACTTTCTGGCTGGCCAACAGGCTCCCAAACAAACTACTACACTTCTGTCAAGCATGACATGCCATAGGCTTAGAGATTACCTTCCAGAAGGCAAAAGCAAATGTCAAGCCTCTCATTGGGCAAAGTTTTATTTTTTACCACACAAGTGCTACATATCCTTTAGTTAAAAGATCAGGTTTCACTTCCTGCATGAAATGTTCCTTGACTACTCCAAACCATGTCAGTACCTTTTTTCTGCACTCACATTCATTCTACTGATTATATGTAACATGCAAACAGACAAATCCTCTGATATGGTCTAATAATTTGATACATTATTCAACATGTTTCCTCTTAGGCTTCTTTCTCCCATCTGATTAACAGGTCCCTCAAAATAAAGTCCTCCCTTTTGCTTTTCCTTACTGTAGCTTCTGACAAAGGCTAGACATTCAGAGTTACCTGATTGATTATTTATAGTACCATGCAAGGAAAACATCTGTCTCATCCATTCAGATACCATTTAATAGTAAATTCTTTTTAGACATTCATGCCAAGATCACATCCTTTTACTTCACATAACAAGTGTGTTAATGTATACTCAGAGGTTTCAAAGAAGATAATAAAATAATGACTTTTGAGAGCATAGGATACAGTTGGGAAGACAGTATTTTCAAATTAAGCATTTTACATAGAATGTTCATGTTGAAATAGCACATTTTTGAAATATTTTTAAATGAAAATATTTGCTTTATTAAATTATAGAATCAGTAGTAATATAATATAATTTTTGGAAAGAGAAAATCCCATAATAAGTGGAATTGAACCAATCAGACCTGGAGCTCATGAATCCAGTAAAATGAATCCAATCAACTCTAACCCTGATAATTCTAATTTGAAATATAGTCTTTTTTTCTCAAGAAAAATGATTTTAAATATGATAATGTTACATGCAATAAACACCAATTATTCCAGAAAAATGATCTTACATATAATAATATTACATGCAATAAACATCAATATTTCAATAATAAAAGGATTTAAGTATAATAATATTACCAAAACTGTACTAACATAGTATAATACCACAAAAGTAGGAAATATTAAAAATCTGCAAATAACAGGATTACTTCTATTATATTCTAGTATATTTTCCCCCCTCTGGCTCTATTTTTGTTCATCAGTTTGTTTTTCATTATATTCCACTAATGAGTGAGATCATATGATATTTATCTTTCTCCAAATGGGTTATTTTGCTTGGCATGATGCTTTTAAAGTCTATTTTGTTGGATATAGTATTGCTATTCCAGCTTTTTATTTCTTTTTCCATTTGCATGGAAAAATTTTTTCCTTCC